TCCAATGTCTTGTCAGTATCTCAATGTGTTCACATGGCTGTCTGAGGAACTACAGGGCAGTTAGTTCAACATACATCCCAAGCAATCACAGACAAGCAGCCAAAGGATGTCCTGGGTAAAACAGTAAAAGCTAGAACCCAAATCAATATCATTCAAATTAATGTCATTTGAAAGAGGTACTTTCAAATAATTTTATGTAATTTTTTTGTAAGCCTACAAGTCTGATAGAGCTAACTATATAGATATGGCGTGCTGAGACTCCTGTAAGCCATTTGACTTAGTTCTGCATGACATTCTAATAAGAAAAATTAGCTGCATGCTACAGTCAGTGTGATCAGTATTAACAGATTTGAAAGAATTGGGTAACTGAGAAGACTTATTCGATATAGCCATTTGACAGATGCATTCCTAGTTGTATTCTATTCACATATCCATGCTATATGTTATTAGCAATCAGGGAAAAATAAAAAACAATTGCTTGTAAAATTATTGGGGTGGATAAAAATGGATTGTTGGGATGGTAAAAGTAATAGGTGGCACTTGCCCAAGACAAACTAATCTGCATTGGCTGAAACACCAGGTTAATGAAAAACCTGGATTATTACATCTAAGTATAAGGTGCAACATACAGGAAAGAGGAATGTGGGCTTCGTTTTAAAACAGGGACGGCATCCTGGACAGTAATGAGCCTGAAAAACATTTAGCAGTTGCAACATATGCCATCTGAACACAAGACATGCTGAATGGGAGGGCATCGCTGCCAAGGCCGTCCTCCTCCTGGACTGTGTAAATAATCAAGTAATGTCAAAGATGAAACTAAGGTTCCTGAGGCATTTGTGTAGATCTCACATCCACACGGCTAGGAGTAACTTACACAATCATAGCGCAACCACATTTTGAATGTTGTGCACAGCTGTATTCCCTTCAGCTCAAAGCGATGCACTGCGATACGTAAAGGGACAGGAGAAACCTGTGCTTGCGGTTAAGGGTTGGGTGACAGCTTCCACACAGGGAATGACACAGCTGAATAGAATTCCAGCCTGAGTAAGGAGAGAAATGACAGGGATCTATATAGTTTTGAATAATACGATGAAGAGGAACAGACTATAGTTGCCCACATGTTCTTAGAATACAAGAGTTAAAGGGCATCAAATGAAACAAGAAGGTGACAGTGTAAGGACAAATAAAAGGAGGTGATCAACACAATGTGCAATTCAGTTATCCTTGCCACAAGGATATCAGAATGCTCAAACATACATGGGTCCAAAAAGTGACTGGTCAAATTTATGCAAGAAAAAAAAATAATTCTCTACGACTGCTAAATACAAAGACGCCCTTTCAAGTCAAAAGTACCTGAAATGCAACTTACAGAGCTCAGGGATGGGGTTGGACATCCCAGGGAAGGGCTTTTTTATACTTGCTTTGTCCTTGTACACTTCTATAAGCAGCACTGTGGTTTAATAGTCCACCCATTATGGCATGTCATGCTCTCCACTGAGGAACAGGAAAGATCAAGTAAGAGTAAAGCAGATATTCGAGGCTGGGAAGCCTACAGGAACATACTGGTGCAGTTGATCTTTTGGTTAAAGGGAGGAGATACTAGGAATAGGCAATGCTTTGACTGCGCAGAGCGGGTCAGGCTGAGACCCAGTGGCTGCAGCTAGGATGGAAACTTCGGTCTAGAAATGGGATGACTTTTTTTCTCCCCTGAGCACATCACTTGGTCAGCTACACCGAGAACGTGGCAGTGGACTCGCATTACTTCAGCCAGTCATGAGGGTGTCTCTTGCCAACCGCTCTGCCAAAAATCCTAGGTGGACGCTGGAGCAGGAACCGCGTGTGCCCAAGGGACCTTTCCACTGAACCTGGGACAAGTAGCGCTCAGCAGCTGCCTGTGCCTGGGGCAGCTGGTAAGAACACATCAAAACCACATGCCCCGGTGCTAATAATGGCACACGCTCCCTGTCCTCCGTTGAGACCATAGCCCTCACACTTAGGACAGCGAAATTTCCCTGGCATAACTCCTGTCCCAGCAAGTACGTTCAATGCTGCATTCGAAATTTCCCCTGTAGAAACCTGAGAAAAAGTAGCACAGCTTGTTATATTGCCAAAATGTGCTCTGGAACATCAAACCTTTTTAATTCTGTTCTTGTAAATGTTTTTTAAAATCAATTGCTAATTGATTAGCATAACTGAGTTAAACTCAGAGTGTTTGTTCTCAGCCTGCACTTAGCTTGAACTTTTCTGATTGTTTCAGTTCTGAAAAAGGGCTTGAGTGCCCAAGAGCTTTTCTGGTGGGTTTTTGTGGTTTGGTTTTCTCCTCCAGTTAGATCAGTCAATCTATAAAAGATACTCCCTTTTTTCCTACTAGCCTCATATTCCTTGAAAACGGTTACTCAGTGGTGTCCTTCCACACAGTGAAATCATGCCCTTTTAATTTCAGTGGGAACACAGGTGAAATCTAGTCCATGAAGACTTGGGCCCAGGGATGGTTTGCCCCTCTCAGCCACCTGCCTGACCGCAGTACGCTGGGACCCCCCGCCCGCAAACCTGGCAGCTCTGAAAGGAACCCGGGAGATTCCCGTGCCGTCCCAGCATGGGTCCTTCTGCACAGCGGGTGCCCACCTATGCCAAGACACCACTGTCCAAAGAGGAGTTGGCCGTGCCAGGAGCTGGCCTGCCCAGGAGTGCGGCTGCACTGCCTGCTCCTGCGTGCGCAGGAACAAACCACCGTAGGTTCAGCTCTTCAGCCTGAGCCGCCCTCATCACCCAAACGCAGAGCAGACTCCAGAACTACCAAAAGTAATCATCAAGACCCGAGGCACGGCTTTAAGTCCAACGGCTGCAAGAAACAATTACAAAATAAAGCAAAGCATTAAACTCGATCTTTCCTTGTTCTTAGGGTGGTATTATCTTAGTGGCTGAGTACCTGTTACCGAACATACGTTATTGCAGGCACATGGACAGTGCTGGGAAGAGGGAGGACCGGTAAACCAGCCCCACGTGCACTGCTCTGCAGACTGCCTTCATACCAAAGCATCCGCTCAGGCTAAGGCAATCCCAGACTGTGCTGCCACCAAAGGGACAGACCCTCCTTTTCTGCTCCTCCTCCAGTCACAGACATGACCTGGCTAAAAATGAACACTCTTAAGTGGTGATTAGAATTTGAGAATAAGGCTACGGGACCTGATCCCATGGACAGATCCCCCTGAACAGAAACGCAAGCTCAGCCAGCGGGAAGGCAGTGACTTCAGGCTGGGCTCCTGCACTGGTTCAAGGGAAACGCGCTACTGATCCGTGGTAAGAGTGCGGGCCATACTCCAGGCATTTCAAAAGCTTTGACTCCTTTGCTCCTTTTCTCCCTGTTTTGGAGATAGTCTTGGTACATCACCTTGAGCCAACATCTCACTTCTCTACCCACAGATGTCATAAAGCACATTGTTAAACCATTTTGAGATATACCATCTCTATACTGCAATAGCAGTAGTACCTACATATACAGGCTGCCAGAACTGCTTTCCTGACACATTTTTTAAACCTGTAACATGTAAACCTTTCCTATTGTATCCTACGAGCATGCATGCTGTCATGCATCACTGCTGTGAGTGCATTCGGAACGGCAGGCTGACCCTCCCACAGTTATTTCCAGTTTGCTGCCCCAGAGCAGCACGGTCTAGTTGTCTAAGGTAGTGATAGTTAGGGGAGCAGAGCTACACCCTGTGTCCCGACAGAGGCGTTGGGTCTGTCAAACTGCTTAGCCTTCAGATCTGTGTGTTCCAGTGTCCAGGCGCTGACGTGGACGTTAAGAGAGAAACCCGTGCACCAAGTGCTGCCGTGGTGCACCTTCTGCCAGCCAGCAGCAGCTCAGGCACTCCTCGAGTCAGCTAGCTTACAGCAAGTCTTTAAAGGATGGTTAGTGCTTTGATTTCTTTACAACTCTGTCTTTAAACCACAGAAACAAACTTTACCCTTTACCTTGTCTAGAGAGCGGTGCAGCCCAGGCAGCAGCGTGTGGACCTGCGCTGTGCCCTGGCAGATGCTGGCTGAGCTGTCGGAGGGGCCGGCTGCGCTGTGCCCAGGGGACCGACATTCTCAGGGCATGCTTCCTCCTCGCCCCACATCAGACTCCTCAGTGCTGGCACGAGCACTGCTGTCCTGCCCCAAGCTGCAAAGCCAGGCAACCCCGACGTTGTACCTGCATGGGAAGTGTTTGTCTGGGAGGCTTCAGCCCCCACACATTTCCCTA